AATTTTGTCAAGTTATGTGAGTACAGGGTGAAAATTCTCCCTTAAAACTTTTTTTTAATTTCTTTTTTTTTTCCCTGGGCTATATGATATTTCCTGTGGATACTCCTGTTCTTAAAAAAAACCCCAGAATTATTAAAAATAAAATCAACATCCCATCTCTACATTTTTAGTGTCTCTGGCTCAATATTTCAGGATACCTTTTCAACAAAACCCCCAGCACTGGAGACACTGCTCAGCACATCTCCAGCACCCATCTCTGCCTGCTCAGCCCCTGTGCTGATGCTCCACGGGGATGCAACTCCCATTCCCAGTGCCCTCATGGCTCCACCACTGCCCTGCACTCCCTCAGCACATGCTGCACCTAAGGAGGCCCTGTTGACCCCATGAGAGGAAGACCACAATTCCTTTTATAATTATTTAGGAGCATTCAGCTGAGACCTCTCTGTGTCAGAATCTGTGCATCCACACTCTGCCCCAAAAAGCTCAGCAGAGCTGGAACCCACCCATGAGCCAGTGAGCACCAGGACAAGGCCAGCAGCCACAGTGCTGCTGCCACCACTGCTGGGGACATCCCAGGGTACCCCAGCCCTGCTCCAGGGCACTTGCCAGCAGCTGCCCCCCCCCTGCACACCTCTCCAGCTCTCCAGGACAATCTGTGTCCCTACAATCTGAAGGCAAAAAGTCCTTGAACTTTCTGTGTGATTTCGAGCTGGGGAAAGCCCAGGAGATTACTGAGCTCAATAGAGGATTTGGGTAGAACAGGACCCGCCATCGCCTCCTCCCTCTCCTCAGGCTCTCAGATCCTGGGCCACTGCTGGCCTGTCCCCATTAGCCATTGTTCCTATTCATTTTGGATGAAGGGGCTTTTGTTGTAGGAGCCCATGCGGGGTCACATTGCCCCTCGGTGATCAATCTGTTTCTCTCCCCTCTGTCCCATACTCCATCTCCCCCCTACAATGGGATGTTTTCTTCGGCAGCAGCTTCCTGACAGGCAGCGGTTCCCTTTGCCTTCAGACCTCATAATCACTTGTTAAGCTGTGCTAGCCTCGGGCTCCCCCGGTCCCTTTTCCACCACACTCCCAGTTTAACCCCTGATCCCATCTGTGCTACGGGTCACTGGGAAAGGGGAAAAAATACAGCCCGTCCCAGCGGGGCCGGCGCAGGCTGGGCGTGCACGAGGCATCCGAGCTGGAAGCTTTCCCCTGTCCTGATTGTATGGAAGCACCCGGAAATAGGTGGTGGAAGCAAAACCTTCAGCTCCTGTTTGCCAAAGCGACAGAGGATTTGGGTTGCTCAGTTTAAGCCTTTGAAGACTTGCTCACCAAAGGGCTCTCTCCCGGTGAGCAGGTTTGCTTATTCAGTGCCCCCATGAAGGGCATCCCAAACCAGGCCATTTGGAGTGGGAAACCTTGCTGGTGGTGGTGGTGGAGGGGGATTTTGGCACCAGCCCTATCACTCTCAGAAGCACCACCCGAAATGACTCTTGCAGCAGAGCATTCGTGGGGGGAGGCAGGAGGGGAGCAACAATAAAATAGTAAATAGGTAAAAGGGGAAAGGAATAACCAAGTGAGATGAGGAGCGAGTGCAAACAGGAGCACAGAGGAGAGCCTGCCAGGACCATCCCGGGGCTGAGCCCATGCCAGCAGCAGGATTGGTGCCAGGGAGCCCTGAGTCACGGGCACGACACACAGCCCTGCACGTTGGGGTGGCCCCGCTCCCCCGTGCCCTGCCAGCCCTCCAGGGAGGGTCACCACACACCCATGTGCCCACCACGGCCTGCAGAGCTGCCCCAGGGATCCCAGCACCCCGGGGCACCCCACTGCTGCCAGGCTTTGGGTCTGTGATGGGTGCAGGGAAAGGCTCTGAGATGGGCAGATCGATCAACGTGGCGCAAATTTAAGGGGGAAAAAAGAAAAAAAAGAGGCTGCGCTAAAAATGTTTAAGTCAGTTGAGCAAGAGGCTGAGTAAAATGAAAAGCACCTTTTGCTCCAAGCTCTAAGACATAAAAACTCCTCTAAGTTATCCCTGAGAAGGGTTATTTTTGCAGCAGGGCTAAAAAAGATAAGAAGTGTAAGTTCTCAGCACTGGATGCCATGACGTCAGCCACATAATTTTTCTGGCTTTATAGTACAATGTTCATCAAATGGTCTTTGTAGCGAAAGAAACTCTTCCAGAAATAAGGTCCAAACCTGTCTGCTAAGAAAGAATCTCAGATTTGCAGCTGTACTAACAGAGCCTACAGCAATGTGGGGTACAGAGGGGTGGAACTATGCACTATTTCCCTGTATTGCCCTTTCTAAGGTGTAAGACACCTTCCTTCTCTGAGAGCTGTTGTTGGCTGTGGAGCCTCTGGTCCCTTTTCAGCCCCAGCAGGCAGAAACGATGAGTCAGGGTCTGAAAAAAAATCACAAGTTTGCCTTAAATATCGTGGGGCTGTTTTAAATAAGGATATATTTAGCTTATTGCTTTCTAGACACCGAAACTTTTTAAATAGGCTCTGGTCACATTTTCCCTAGGCAACTAGTGACTTTTTAAAGGAAAGTTGAGATTCTCACCAATGTTTCCAGGAAAAATGCTGCAAGCAGCAGACCTGTGATACAAGCCCAGCAGACACACACTCTACGCTCTTTCAAACCAATTTCACTTCTCTTTTCTGGTTTTCTCCGTTTGGAAGGACCATTTATTCAGACAGAAAATGTAGCATTGTTCTAAGTGTCTAGGAAAAAAAAGTATCATAATAACCAGCATAAAGAAGTCAAACCACTTTGCATTGATCTTGCTCCTTCTGCAGGGCCCACTCCAAAGCCCATTGATGTCAGCAAACTCTTTTCATTGACTTCAATGAGCTGGATCAGAGCACAGATTTATAAAGGCACTTAGGTTCCTAATGATGTAAGTAGTTGCCTAGAGGTGTTGGGGGCCTAACCTGCTTATAGCCTTTTGTAAAACACACCAGGCATCTACTTACATGTTGGAGCATTGAAATACCTGAAATGCTACAGTGTCTTGAAGTCACCAAACACACGGAGCTGGAATCACACTCACTAATTTTAGATGAAGTGATCTGGCTGCGTTGCAGCTGGGCTGGGTATGGGTTTGGAAATTCATATATTCGAGATAAGTTTCTTTTCTTAGAGAGGAAAAATGCCATAAAGTTGGGAGAAGATCTAATAGAATAATTCATTGCAAATAACATTTGTTATTAATTTTGGCCTGTTTACTATTTGGAAACACATTTTTATTAGGCAGCCAGCTCTGCAGATGGCTGATTATAATTCATTGCAATTTTTCCTCTCCTTTTCATTGAATAATTTTTGGATACACCAGCTTTATTTCCAAGCAGTTGAAGTTTAATTCCTCAGCTAGGTCCACACCAAACAGCAGGGAAAAAAAAAAAGATCTAAGTCAAGTGTTTCATGTGCAAGTTTGTTTAAAAATTCTATAATCTATGACAAACATTTCAAATTAAAAGGGCATTCCCACAGGCAATGAAATAATGAAGCCCTTAGAATCAGGCAGGCGAGGCATGAAGCTGAGAGCTATTTCCACATTTTATGTACTCTCAGAGGAGAAGAGCAAATTCCGAGAGCAACATCGTGTTGTGTTTGTAGATATTTCTTACCAACTGCGGGCCAGACTCTGCAGCCAGCCTGGGGGCAACTCGTGCAAGACAGCAGGGAAAAGGCTGATTCCAGGTCTTTCCGTGTGTGTTCAGCGCAGAGCTCGGTGTAGCTGTGATACCACGACTGTGTTTTACACCCTTGTCAGTGGTTTCACTGGGTTTGACAGGGACTGTTACTCCATGTGAAGGTATTTGCCTCTGGAAGGGTGGATGCGATCACTGGGCAAATCGGGAATTTGTTCTCAGGTCCGGCAGGATTGAGGGGGGGGAGTGCAAAAATCAAATCCACGGGCAGGTGGACAAAGCACAGTCAGACGGACACCGGGGGCTGAACACACAGCACTCGCTGGACGGAAAAGTCCCGCCGAGCTCGGCTGCCAAAAGAGCCTGTCCGCGGGCAGCGGGAGCTCCCGCTGGGGCTGGGAAGCGGACAGCACCGAGGGAAAAGCTAACCCAGATAGCTTTTGTGCTATCTCTGTAAGCTCTCTGTGCCCTACGGGGCATCCCGCACCCGCGGGAGAGCCTCAGGGTATCCCCGCACCCCCTGGGACAGCCTCCCGAGGGGCTCCCGCATCCCTCTACTCACGGAACAACCTCGTGACCACCCCCGCACCCCCTGGGACAGCCTCCCGGGGGGCTCTCACATCCCTCTACCCTCGGCGACAGCCTCGGGGACATTTCCGCATCTTTCTACACCGGGACAGCCTTCTAGGCATTCCCGCACCCCCCGGGACAGCCTCAGGGGATCCCTACAGCCCCCGGGACAGCCTCCAGAGCATCCCCGCACCCCCCGGTAGACGCTCAGGGACATTCCCGCATTCTTCTACCCCCGGGACAGCCTCCCGGCCACCCCCGCATCTCCCGGGAGAGCTTCCAGAGCATCCCCGCACCCCCTGGGACAACCTCCCGGACACCCCCGCTCGCCCCGCAAGGGCTCGGCAGCGCCTTCCCTGCGGGGTCCGCCCCCCCAGCGCTGCCGGGGCCGGTCCGGGGGCGGCTCTGCCCCCCGCCCCCGCCGCGCCATTGGCCCCGCCGCCCTCCCCGCTCCGCCCCGAGCCCGCCGATGTCTCCGCCGAAGTTTTTCCGCGGCGGGCGCCGCACGTGGGAGCCCCGCGCCGAGCCCCGGTCCCGCATCCCCCTCCAGCCCCCGGAGCGGCAGCGGGGGCGGCTCCGCGCTCCCCCCAAACCCGCCCCCGCTCCCCCCTCTCCCCCCCGCGGGGGGATGCCCCCCTGAAGCGCGGCCGCGGCGGGTCCCCCGCGCAGGGGATGCGGCAGCTCGCAGCCCCCCGGCCCCGCGGAGCGCAGCGCGGAGGGGCCGCGCCGGGGGGCGGCCGCGGAGCATGGCCAGGGCCCGGCCCGGCCGCCGCCTCGGGGTAGCATGGCCGTGAGCGCGGCGGCCCCCCCCGCCGCCGAGCCGCTGCCCCGCAGCATCTTCAAGAAGTTCCTGGTGATGCTCTGCTCCCTGCTCATGTCCCTCTACGTCTTCTACTGCCTGGCCGACCGCTGCCAGACGCTGCCCGGGCCCATCATCGCCGCGGGCGCCGCCTCGGAGGAGGAGGAGGGCGGCGGCGGAGGGTTGCTGGGGGGCTCGGCCGAGCTGCCCCCCTGGCAGGCGGCAGCGGCGCGGCGCAAGCGGCTCCTGCAGCGGCTGAAGCAGCGGCGGCGAAGGCAGGAGGCGGCGCCGGGCGCGGAGGTGCCGGGCGGGGGCGGCGGGAGCCGGGCCGGCGGCTCGGGCGGCGGGGGAGGCACGGCCGGCACCCTGACCCTGCTGCTGGGCGAGGGCAGCAAGCGGCTGCCGCAGGCCATCATCATCGGCGTCAAGAAAGGGGGGACGCGGGCGCTGCTGGAGTTCCTGCGGGTGCACCCCGACGTGCGCGCCGTGGGCGCAGAGCCCCACTTCTTCGACCGCAACTACGAGCGGGGACTCGCCTGGTACAGGTACGGGACGGGCCGGGGATGGGGCCGGGAATGGGGATGGAGCCGGGAATGGGGATGGGGCCGTGGCCGAGCCGGCAGTGCCCCCCGCTGGCCGCCCGGACCCGCCGCCCACCCGCGGCTCCCGGACCCGCAGCCCTGTCCCCGCTCCGCAAACCCCTCGCCGATCCTTTTCTCATCCCCCGATCCTTCCCGCCTCGCCCCCCCACCTCAGCTCCCGTGCCCGTTCCCCAGTTCCTCGGGCACGCTTCCCCTCCCAGCCCCTCGCTCCACCCGTCCTCCCGTCCCCGCTCCCAAATCGCCCAGCCCGTCTCTCCCCGCATTCCCCTCCCGGCTCTCCGCCACCCCATCCCTGAATTCCCCGACTCTCCTCTCCCTGCCCAGCGCACCCCCAGCCTTCCAGTCCTATGCAGGGTCCCTCCGGGGGTGCTCCCCTGCAGCCCGGGGGTGGACCCCGCACACAATGGGGAGAGCGGTGAGTGCCCCATCGCCCTGGGGATGCACAGGGATGCTGAGGCAGAGGTAATCTTCCCCCGGCGAGGAGCACGCCCCCCCAACGTCTTGCTGCTCCCCTACTTTTCTCAGGGCAGGGGGGCTTTACAAAACCTTTCAGGGTGGCTCACCCTCACCCTGACTCCCAGCCGAGCCGCCCCGCAGCCCCGGCTGCCTCCCCTTGCAAACCATCGCATCGTCACCTCCCACAACCCCCAGCCCAGCGATGCAGCCCTTGGAAGCCGCTTTCCTGTAGTCAGTGCGGAGAAAAAAAAACTGCTTCCCATGTAAATATTTCAGCATCCCAATAATGAGTAACCGAAAATGCCAGTTCCAGGAGCGTGACCCCACGCGCTCACCTTGCCTGAGAAATGAGCAAAAAGGTAGATGGGGTTCGGCTTTCAATGAATTTGTGTTGCTTTAAACAAAGTAAAAGGTGCCCCTTTTCGAACGAGCCAGTAAATGTTTAAGCCAAGAAGGTTCTCACTGATGTTGTTTAGATGTTTTCCTTGTGTGTTTTAAAGTTAACAGAGCAGCGTCTCCTGGCAGATTCCTGTGGAAGGGATTGGTTGGGGTGGGGGCGACACTGCTCTTTCTCGGAGTGTGTCTGTGTTAGTGGCTTTCTTGAATGAACAAGCGAAAAGGAGAGGGCTTCGAGTACCCCTGGAGCTTGTTTTACTTTGGTGTTAAGCCCAGCTATTATCAGAGAGGAGATGATGATTTTGGCTCAGCTTGTGGTGACGGTATTGAAATGTGGAGTAGGATAGTACTGACAGTCCGAGTGTTTATATAAAAGTCTTAACACGTGGAAGGGATGAGCTTCCCTGTGTATCCGCCGGTGTCAGGAACACGACGGGTTTCTGCAGGCAGCAGTGTGGGTTCTCCGAGAAGAAAGATTTCCTTTCGTGTGGGCTGAAGCTGTCTACAGAATTATATTTTTAGTCTGTGCTTATCCAATTTCCACATGCTGACCCTGTAGCAGAGAGGAAACGTTAAAAACGAATCTGAAAAACCTCAAGAACTCTAATCAAGCCTTGACTTTGAAAAATAAACACATGACTGTGGGGTGGCATCTACTGCAATTTATGGTGGATATGCAGAAAAGCTCATTTATCAAAGATGCTCTCGAAGCCTTGAGGAGCAGATGGCAGTGGGATAGACCCGCTTCTGGAAGCAGTCCCTGAGCGAGGAGTGCAGACCTAGACAGAGGAGGAGCCACAGGCATTTAGGGCATAGTACAGCCCTTGATGTAGGGGATTTAATTTTCCAGAGGTTTGGTCTTGCTCTTGCAGCTCTTACTCACTGGAGGTGCTGTCCCGAGCGCTCTTTGTGCAATCATTATGTTTTAGCAGTTGGCACATGAGCTGCAGTTTGTTTGTTCTGGTATTTGATGTACTGAGTTTCATCTTTTTTTTTTTTTCCTTTTTTATTAGCCCTGTGGAGGCTGAGGTACAGTGAATTCTTTGTGTGGGATTATTCCTTTGAGACCTAATCTTGCTGGCTTTGCTTGTATGAGTAATCTTTACTAACACACGGGGTCCCGGTGCCGTGGCAGAGCCGCGGTGTCAGCCCGCTGGTCACCAGTTACCAGCCTGTTAGAAATACTCACTTAAAAAACTCCCCGTGTCTCTCCACGGGTCTGCTCTGATCTTTGAGGAGGGCTCAGTGCCGGGGAAATGGCCAGATGTTTGCCAGGGGTCCCGATTCCTTATCTCTGGCATCAGAGGCTTAGGTTTCACGTGCACTGCTGTTTCCCAGCAGTCAGACTAAACAGCATCGTTACAAGGTATAAACACTTGGGTTGGCTTTCAGCGCCCGCAGGAAGCAGCGGGGAGAGAGCCCTGTCCCAGGGAACAAAAACCTGGTGGCTGTTGCAGCGACTCAGGCTTGTGGCTTGGAAGATCCAGCCACCTTCTGCAGCTGATGCCGTTGTCACCGGAGCGTGGAGGTGGGCTGTCACTAGGATGCCACACCAGGACCGTGGAAGGGTGACTGTAGGGTTTGGGGCATGAGGGGGACCACGGTTCCTCCTGGAAACAAAAGAGCAGCTCCAGCAGCAGCTGCTGTGAGGATGGAGGAACTGGCTGAGCTGTGGCTGCAGCAGGAGGGTGATGCTCCTGGAGCAGCCGGTCAGCTGGTGGTACCTGTGGGGCAGCGGCTCGTGAGGCACAGGCTTGGTGACAGCAAGTGGTGTCACCTACTGGGTGACACGCAGTGCATGGAAGCACTATCCATTAAATGGAGTGGAATAACGGCTCGGCTCTTCCAGCCCTGGGTAAGGGGGAGCTGTCCTGCCGAGGGGCTGACTTTGTAAAAACCATCTGAGGGGGTTAATTTGGTGAGTGTGACACCTCCGTGTGTGCCCGTGTGGGAGTTGCATGTCAAGGGGAGTTGTGAGTGCCGAAAGGAGCTTTCTCTGGTTTGGGTTCGTGAGTCCCCTCTCCATACAGGGACAAAAGGAGGGAGGGGGCAGCCCACAATGCTCGCATTGACTTCAGCGCCGAGATCGCTGCTGCAGCCCTGAACAAGGCTATTGAGCTGACAGAGTTCAATAGCAGGTGAGCACGGGCTTTAATAGAGTTCAACTGCCATCCCCCACCCCAACACGGCTGTACAGCCTGGGGAAAACTCCCGAGAACAGGGGCTGAGCCAGTCATGTAAAAGAAATGTCTGGATTAAAAGAAAATATCTGTGTTTGCGGGTGATACTGCGAATCTGGCTGGTTCCCTCTGATCCTTTGTTAGTCTCGCGCTGATTGAGCTGCCTGTTGGAATGTCATTATACTGTCAGTCACCCCAGGAACATTTATTTCGTATGTTTTAATCTCCCTGCCTCTGTAGCACCGATGCCAATTTCACTAGAGAGAAGCCAAGCTAATGTCATTAGATCACACTCGATCCAGGGGAAGATGAAAGATGATTCAAAGTTACCCTGTCAGGCTGGGAGTTTAAGTATCGCTCCTCCCTGATGCTTCCAGAGCTGGGGAGTTCTGGCTCCTAATTAATGTCCTCTTGGGATTTTTCTCCTAGGCTTTCTTTTTTTTTTTTTCTTGCTTCTTTGTAATCTAGGCAGGCACTGATGTTTCTGAGTCAAAGGGAACAGAGAACATCTCAGTTGCTGAAGAGGTCTGGGATGGAGAAAAAGAGGTTTGGGATGGAGAAAAAGAGGTTTGTTGGGAGGGGATGTGCTTACGGCAGCTGTGAGCAGCTGCATCCCTCCTTGTGCCGTTTCCCATCCTCTGTGCCTCAAATCTGGGTGAAATCAGAGCTGGGGATGGAGGAGTCGGGACACTCCTGCAGCAACGGATGGCCTGGAGGTCCTGGGGGTTTGAGGTCACCATAATTCAGTAGCACAGTCTCTGAGTGCTGTGTAAGCATGGGAAGGAGGGTGGGAGTGTAGGCACGGTGGGCAGGAGCGCGTGGATGATGCCGGGGGGATGTCAGGGCAGTGAGTACAATTTGTGGAAGGTGGAGCAGGATCAGGTGGCCATTGGGAGGAAAGACCTTGTCAAACCCCCTTGTCTAAGGCAGATGCTGTAGAGTAGTTGCCTTTAGTGATCATCTCTCCATCTTTCTCCAGCCATCCTTGCTGCCTCTGCAGGAAACACCAGGTCTTTGCCTGTGTTCAGGCCCAGAACGTGGCTTGTGCTGTTGGACATGGAGTTTGAGCCAGTTTGGGTTTTTCACTCCCTGTTTGTCTGCATGCCTGCCTGTAGGAACGTCTGATTTAGCAGCACCTTCTCCTTGCCCTGGGAACATCTCATCTCCCAAACACATCTGAATTACTAATAGCTTCAAGTGCAGCCTGCAGCAGTTTCTCTGGAAATTGCAGCCTTGGACAGCCACACGCTGAAGAGGATCAAGGCCCTTGTTTATTTATTAGCTGTGCAATCAGACACCTCCCATACTGAGCTCCCAGGGCCAGGTGCTGTATAAAAAGGGAACAAAAGGTGGTCTTGGCCCCAAAGCACAGGTAATTCACTGTAAACAACTGCTGGAGATGGGCTGAGCCTGGCACAGAGAGTGCATGCCTTGGTTGGGTGGTGTGGGCAAGGAAACATGGGAGATGGAGGATGAGGTGGGTTTATGGGTGATTGAAGGGAGGTCTCTTTGCTGGGGAAGAGCAAGGGGGAGAAGGAGCATGCTGGAAATGCTGATGAGATCAGGGTTGGGGTCGTTGAGATTGTATAAGACTCGTTCTGGTGCTCATGTACTTTACCACTGCCTTTGTGAGTGATCTGGGCTTGGACACTCCAAGGTACTTCAGTAAAGACCTGAAACAGTTTGAGGGTTGACTGGGGAGATGTCTTGGCCTGCCTCAGTCTACCAATCTGTAAAAAGGGAGGAAAGTCACTGCCCTGTGCAGGGGTGGAACAGCAGCAGCTCTGTGGCCCTGTGGCACCTCCCTCACACAGAGGGGAGGAGGTGTATGGAGTCTGAGCTTGTTGGGCTGTGCTGTGGGTTAAATAACACCCAAAGCAGGTGAACCCTACCAGAGCTGCTGGCAGAGGT